TAACCCGGCTCCCACCACTACACGCCTCTCCTGTCTCCTACACTGCAGACAGACGCCATGCTGCGGTATCATCCAGGCTGTAACACCTCGCACAGTGCTTAGCACATGGCGGGAACCCAGTATCTGTTGGACGACCAGAAGCTATCTTTCCCAGCTCACCACAGTGCTGTGTAACCCACTGAAAAAGCTAGCTTGGGTCAGGGGTATAGTTCAGTGCCACAGTGCCTGCCAGGCAACAGTGAGGCTGGGTTTGACTCCTCATACAGAAAAACAAGGCTACGCTAATATATGCACACTCCTTGAAAAACCGACTAACCAGGGCCGGCCAGACAGCTCAGCGCACTAAAGCACCTGCTTCGGTAAGTGCAGGGACCGAGGCGTGCCATGCCGGTGCCAGCCCCACTCCCAGAGTGCACTGAGACAGCGGATGAGACTGGGCGTGGTGGCACACACCTGTAATCCCAGCACTTGGAAAGCTCAAAATAGAATCACCACCAGTCCAATCTGTGTCGTGAGACCCTGTAGGCTCTGTAATAAACACATTAAAAAAAAAAAAACCTAACCAAAACATGAGATTAACCATAAGACATAGAATTAAACCCAAATAATGTGGCAATCTTGGATCGGCAAAGCTTTTAAATAAAACATCATGCATACACGTATCACACTAAAGCCTATGAGAGTAGGGGATGAACAACCACACATGTAATAACGCACAAGAAACCCTAATACTGCCTCGTTCCCCACCTGCGTGTAGCAGGGGCTTGCTCTTATTTTACACTCCACAACAAAAACCAAAACAGTCCACCAGGGTAAACAGGAGGAGTGAGAGAACACTCAAGAGGGTGCAACCAGGAGAAAATGGCTCATCTGCAGATCTGGAGAACTGACAGCCCTCACAGAAGCAGGTCGTCAACACTCTACCACACAGCCACAAAAAAAATCCGAAGTGCAATGAGGCTATGTGGTGCTATAATTAAGTTCCTTTTTTTGAATGTCGGAGATGTTTTAGCAAATAGCTTAGAGAGGCCAGGGATTTAAACCTTTGCTACAGCACTTGCCTAGCACAGCATGTGAAAGGCCCTGAGTCTGATCTCCTTAAACTCTAGATACATATCCTGTTAGTACCTTCATAACCAGTCCCTGGGAAAAACCTCTCCTATATTTGAAGGGGAGAAAAATATATATTCACATATAGAAAATCTTCAAATGTACTACTGGAATGATTGGCAGGATTTAAAAGTTCACTGGAAGACATGAGCCAAGTCTTCTCCTCTGTAAATCTATCACTAGGTTCCAACCAAATTGCTCTTAGTCATCTCTAAAGTTGTACTTCAGTTATACTATTAACAATGCGCGTTATCATGTTCTTACCTTACTAACTCCAACTCCAGTAAACCTGGCCTCTAATAATTCCTGCCGTCGTGGGTCCAGGCTATGCAATTCTTCCATCATTTCTACTGAAAAAGAAAAAGTAGGTTGTGAAACCATAAAAACTAAAACATTCAGAACCAGTCTTATTTAAAATTCACAGCGACTGGGCCGGGAGATAGCTCAGTAAGACTAAGCACTTGGCAGGCAAGCGCACGGGCCTGAGTTCAATACCAGGTTCCACAAAAATAAGTAAAATGAAATTCACAGCGATTACTTCACTGAATGGTAGAGCTCACGGAAATACAGTACACACATGATGAACTAAAATGTACAACAAATAGTTTGGGGTGGGGCTTGTTTGTTTTAGTTCTTCACTTTTTGCAAGAGTCTCACTGAGCAGTTCAGTGACACCCTGAACTCATGATACATACTGAGAGCTGATACACATACTGGTGGGCTCAGAACTCAAATCCATCCGCCTGCCTCAGCCTTCCAAGCGCTGGGATTACAAGCGGGCATCACTACACCCAGTCTACAAACAGGTATTCGACGTAATGGAAGTTACCTAACGTTATTTAGCAGCTCAGTGGAGGGCCACTTACTCTTCACAAGTACGGATTTGATTTTAACAGAAAGGGGGAAAAAAAAAAAAAACCTTCAAATTCTTCAGTCTAAAAGTTGAGCAGGAGCCGGGGAGATGGCTCAGTAGGATAAGCGCTTGACTGGCAAACGCAAGGATATGAGTTCAATCCCCGGTTCTGACAAAAAAATAAAAATAAATAAAAGTTGAGCAGAAGAGAATATAGGTGGGTTTGCAAAAAAAAAAAAAAAGTCCCATCAATCTTGAACCTACTTAAGTACTTTCAGATATTTCTTTCCCAAACATATGGGAGCTAGTTCTTAAAACTACAAATATGAATCATTAATTTCAAAAGAATGTGGCATGCAACAGAAGCTGCAAATAACTTCATGTAACACTGTTATACAGTTTCTTTCCCTGAAGCGCCCACAGTAGCTCATGAAAATAGGGCTTTAGATTTAATAAGAAACCCATGGTGGAACTATCACCCTGCATTCATTCAGGAAATCATTACAGCTCCGCAAGAATCCCTTTGCGAAACCTTTCCCTGACCACTCCCTGAAGCAGTAGGTTCTCCGACTGTAGACATCTGCTTTTAGCACTCCTCCAAGCAGGGAGGGGCAGCAGGACACCATTTTTAAACTCCTTTCCTGACCCATTAATGCACAGATTACTCTGAGCAAATATGTCCATCTTCGCAAGAAACCAACTCTTGCACGATCCGCGGAAAATCCTTCGCTCAATTGAAAGTGGGGAGATAAGCACGCACCATTACACAGCACCCCTTACTTGGAACCTAACATGAAGTATTTACGAGCACGGCGAGCGAGGTTCCGACGCGCACCGGAGGCACGAAGCGGCCTCCCCGCAGCCCGACAACCGCACCACTGCCAGCAACAGCCGCTCCAGTTTCGGTTCCCCGCCTGGACCCGGCGCCCGGGAGGGGCGCGGAAGGCGACGCGTCCGGGTGTCGAGCGCCCGCGGGGCCCGCTCGGCGGGGTACAAAGGCCTCGTCGGGGCAGCGAGGCGGCGGGGACGCGCCGGGCC